CGGCGGTGCTCGGCTTTGTGTCGCCGGTGCGACCGGCTGGGCTGAGGCGGCGGGCGACGGGCGGTGCGGCCGGCGACAGGCAGCGCGGCGGGCAGCCCGAGGGGGCCAAGAAGGGGCGGAGGGCGCGCGGCGCGTCAGAGCGAAGGGCGGGAAGCGCCATGGAGGCCGATGGGCCGCGGCGGGGGAAGGACGGCGGAGAAGCAGCCGCCTCATGCCCCAACCGGCCTGGGCACCCCCGGCTGGAGCCGCACAGCGAGGTGTGGGGGGACACGGTGGAGATCAGGTGTAATTGCTCAGGGCTGCGCTTCGCCCGCGGCGGTAGGAAGCTCCGGGCTGTGGAGGCCGCTCGCCCCGGCGGTGGTGGTGGCGGCGGAGCGTACCCTGCTCACCTGCAGGAGAGGCAGCGCACAGAACACACGGGGGAGATGAAATGGGATATTAAAGTTATCACAGTTAGGATTTTGTAATGATGTGCCCCCATTTCTTAAATGCATAGAACCAGAGAACGGTTAGAATTCGAAGGGATCTTAAAGACCACCCAGCTCCAACCCCCTGCCCTGGACAGGGACACCTCCCACCAGCCCAGGTTGCTCCAAGCCCCCTCCAACCTGGCCTTGAACCCCTCCAGGGATGGGGCAGTCACAGCTTCTCTGGGCAACCTGGGCCAGGCTCTCACCACCCTCACAGCTCACCCTCTTCCCCACATCTCATCTCCATCTCCCCTCTTTCAGTGTCAAACCATTCCCCCTCGTCCTATGGCTCCCCTCCCTGATCCAGAGTCCCTCCCCATCTCTCCTGTAGCCCTTTTAGGTATTAGAAGGCTGTTGTAAGGTCTCCCTGGAGCCTTCTCTTGTCCAGGAGAGGAGAAGGCCTTGTTTGAACTTAGAGCAGAACTGCTCAAAGCCATGCAAGGAAGCATGTTACTATTCCCTGTATGTCCCTTCCAAGTGTTATTATTCCATGCCTGTTTCTCTCTACGCTCTTTTCACTTTTGTTTTCTGTCTACCCTTTTGCCCTCATCCCCGCTCATTACCTGGGAGACCTGAATCTTCGGCCGCTGCCCCACTTTTGAGTCACTATTTCGCATCTGTCAGGCAAAACACGTCCCAGTTTTGCCTCAAATGCTGCGCAGAACGGCTGCTCCTTTTTACTGCACGTGCCTAATTTGTTTTTGAAGTGATCTGCCCACGTGCTGCACGCCATGCAGCGAAACTTCAGCCTTTCAGAAAGGACAGGAAAGTGGGGGAAATCACTCTTCGCCTGTTTTTAAAGCTGCTGCTTGTAGTCTTTAGTCCTAGGTGTTATTAACTAGTATTTTAACAGTCATTACAGATGACACACAAGCTGTGCTTCAAACCATTCAATACTCTGAGGCAACGGAAACATCAACCACTGCCTTTTTGTAAAATTTTGTCAAAAATAACAAGAAGGCCTGCACACCTTCCATGTTTTATCTGTTTCACACACACATTGTCTGGTTTCCATGAAAGATACATGAAAATAACTGATCCCTCATGAAAATAACTGTACCCTCGACACCTCTGAGTTACACAAAGATTATTATGAAGAAATATTTTATAACAGATCTACCTACTCCAGACCTCAAAGCCCTGCATGATCCTATTCTGCCTCTGGCCAACGTTATCACAGCTCACTAGATTTGCTAAATAAACTGAAAATACAGATTCATCGCAAGAAGATGATAAAAGTGCCACAGGAAAGAGAAAAGAAGTACTGCACGTAAGAACAGTAACTCAGGCAGCTGGAGCAGGATGAAGCTAAGTTTTGAGATACTCCCACTGTACATGGATATAGGGCGAGTTATGAAAGAGAGTGCTTAACTTTGAAATTCAGAATTTATTTACAAGTTTTCACTAAAAAAAAAAAAAAAAAAAGAAACAACAGAAAACTCCCCTCCTGGATATACTCTATACTGCCATCGAAAATGATTAAATCCATTTACACATTTTACAGATTTATCCGTGTATACAACAGCGTATGCTTTAGTCATCAAGACGCTGAAAGAAGAGAGGATAAACTAAGCTGTTTTAAAATAATGAAAACTGCCAGGTTTCCCGTGGCTTCCCCCTCCTTAAAAATAAGCTACAACAATTCAGCAGAGGAACAGACTTTAAAGAGTTCTAACTTTTCTTTAAAAGTACAGGAGAATCAGCTTTCTTCCAACCAGACTTGCTACACAACGTTGGACCTAACCCAACAGCCTTAACTGGGGCAAGATCTGTACCAAACCAATTAGCGACCATCTCTGCCACAGAACTGCGAGGTCATACCCTCTAGTTTCACTTTTCAGTAAATTGTTAATTTAACGAAGGAAGATGGAGGGCGAGGGAAGAAGGAGGAGCAATAGAGGAGGCTGCAAGTTTTAACAGAAGTTAAGAAGGTTAACACACACTTTAAAAAGTATAATAACTTCTGACGGAACAGTAACAAATGCTAATTGCTAATTATCACCTGCTAGTCTAGATTAACACAGAGTTGCCCAGCTTCAGGTACAACGTTTTTAAAGATTTTTTGCATAGCAATCGCCCCTATTTTCAACCTACTTCACCATCAGCACCAAACATTCTTGGATTTGGACAGTCTTTGTGAACACCAAGGAGAAAAATCCCATTCTCCATCAACCCGGGAAAGTTTGATTTCTGAAGTGAAGCGAATCAGGTTTTCACCCAGCAAGTTTTGTCTCCCTCAGCATCACAGCCCAACTTCAGCAATTTATATCGCGTTTTCAGAGCCCAATTCGTATCAAGTAGCATCGTGTAGTCACTGAAATTAAAAAAACGAACACTGTTGTTTTCCTTAATGCACAAATTAAATCGCGATGTCTACTGAAGGAAATTAATCCCTGAGTAACGAGAGGTTTTAAGACCGCGTCCTATCGACCGTCCCCGCAACGCGCGCTCAACAGCCGGCGCCAATCACAGGCAGAGACACAACTCGTCAGGAGTCCAGTATATTCATCGAGTTGCAACGCGCTCGCAACAGCCGGCGCCAATCACAGGCGGCGACACAACTCGTCAGGAGTCCAGTATATTCACAGCGTGGTGGCATTGATCCCCGCATCCCGTCCAATGAAACTGCATGTGAACGGTTGGAAATAGGATTAAATAGAAACAGAGTGTCTTTTATTATTTTAAGTCGAGCGTCAAGCTGACAGCTAAACCGTGCTGGATCCCAGGAAACTCAGGAGCGGTGGTGAGGAGCAACTCGCTCTTCTTTGGGGGTCCACAAGTGGCTTCCACCGGGTATCTTCAACCAAACAACAGGAGGAGAACGATTGTGATGGAGTTCACGGCTATTAATGGCACTGTAGGAAGAAAGAAAAAAAAAAAAAAAATAAAAGAGCAATTGTGAACATCATCGTCTGGACATCACAAAGAGACAGAACTCCTTATCTTGGGAAACTGCCTTTTAAGGACCAAAATCAGTCAAAATTGTAAAAACACACTGGATTTTCATACGCAAAAATCGGGATTAGTGAAAGGAGCCAGTATCAAAGCCTGGGATACTAAAAATTAGGAAGCAACAGCATAAATATTTGTATACGGCCCATCATGTTGTAACTTTGACCCAAAAAAGGTCCTTCCTCCAAATGAAACCAAACCACCTCAAAGTCGGTTTCTACCCTTGGTTTCCCTGCAATTTAGAAGAAATGTATCAGTTTTCACTCTGCAGTGAGCAAGACAGGTGAGATTTGTTAATTTCTGTTGTCATCACCTATATAAAGAATTTTCATGTGCTTTATGGTAAAAACCCTGCAAGTTGCTTACAAATTAAGACTTTTTTTTTCCCCCACTATTGTTTAAGCCACGTAAACCTGGATTACCTTTAGGAATCCCAGGAATTACATTTTCCCCACAGGTAGTTCATGTAAGATTGAATTTAGCCAAGGTGAAGCTAATTGCACGCTATGATTGATCACTAAGCTTCCACCCAAACTCCAAGGAAACACAAGACACAGCAGTGGCACCACAAGCCAGAGCCTGCGTCGGGGAATGTTTTACACTACATCAAGCTGAGGGCACCTTAGGTGGGACCTGCGTCCTCCTCTGCAGAGCCCACACACGGAGAGAGGAACCCGAAGGAAAGACTGACTGGAAATGATGGGCAGAAATTTCGCCTTTGCAAACCTCATGAAGTTCAACCAGGCCAAGTGCAGGGTCCTGCACCTGGGCTGGGGCAATCCCAAGCACAAATCCAGGCTGGGCAGAGAATGGATGGAGAACAGCCCTGAGGAGAAGGACTTGGGGGTGGTGGTGGATGAGAAGCTCAACAGGAGCCAGCAACATGCTCTGGCAGCCCAGAAAGCCCCCCGCACCCTGGGCTGCATCCCCAGCAGCGTGGCCAGCAGGGCCAGGGGGGGATTCTGCCCCTCTGCTCCGCTCTGGGGAGACCCCCCTGCAGGGCTGCCTCCAGCTCTGGGACCACCAACAGCAGAAGGACAGGGACCTGTTGAATGGGTCCAAAGAAGGCCAAGGAGATGCTGTGAGGGCTGGAGTCCCTCTGCTGTGAGGACAGGCTGAGAGAGTTGGGGGGGTTCAGCCTGGACCCAAAGGTCCAGGTTCCAGAGACCTTATAGCCCCTTCCAGTCCTTAAAGAGGCTCCAGGAAAGCTGGGGAGGGACTCTGGATCAGACAGGAGAGCCACAGCATGAGGGGGAAGGGTTTCAAACTGAAAGAGGGGAGATGGAGATGAGATCTTGGGAAGAACTTTGCTGTGAGGGTGGTGAGAGCCTGGCCCAGGTTGCCCAGAGAAGCTGTGGCTGCCCCATCCCTGGAGGGGTTCAAGGCCAGGTTGGAGGGGGCTTGGAGCAACCAGGTCTGGTGGGAGGTGTCCCTGCCCAGGGCAGGGGGTTGGAATGGGATGGTCTTTGAGTTCTCTTCCAACCCAAACTATTCTGTGATTCTATGAAATATCAGCTCTTTGATAAAAAAGTCAAAATTCCGATGTAACTTCATTAAAGCACAGAAGGAAAGCTTTACAGGCAGTATTGTTTAAAGAGAAGACGGTCACCTTACCTCTCATCACGGTGCGTACGGATCGAATGAGGTTCGTTAGCTGTGCTTTAATTCCTGGTTCCTCTCCAAATCCTCCAATCCCTTGGTCACTTCCCCAGCCCACTGTGTCACACCAAAACCACCAGACATGTCAGAAAAAACCCAAAACCATAAAATAAGCGATACTAATGAGTGATTTATCTTGATTACGGTTATGAGTAACATTAGTAAAAACGAAATGCTATGTGCTTTAATTCAAGATCAGGTTTTAAAAAAAACATACTGAAAATTGTTAAACCTTTTAATGAATGCCACAGTAACGACAGATCGATGGTTCTGTAGAGGAGACCCTTTAACTTTTAAATACACCACAGTTCCCAGGGCACCAGAGAAATAAATGAGTTTATTTGGGCTTTGTAAACAAAACAGAAACCACCCACCAACATAAACACAATCAATCTGTTCCTCGTCCTCCCCCTCACTGGCCACCCTTCCCACCTGGATGAGCTTGGGAACATCTCCTTTACGAGGAGAGGTTGAGGGACTTGGGTCTTTTGAGTCTGGAGAAGAGCAGACCGAGGGGGGATCTGATCAAGGCCTAGAAATACTTGAAGGGTGGGTGTCAGGAGGATAGGGCCAGGCTTTTTTTGGTGGTGCCCAGGGACAGGACAAGAAGAAGTGGGCACAAACTGGAACATAAGAAGTTCCATCTCAACATGAGGAGGAACTTCTTTCCTGTGAGGGTGGCAGAGCCCTGGCAGAGGCTGCCCAGAGAGGTGGTAGAGTCTCCTTCTCTGGAGACATTCAAACCCACCTGGACACGTTCCTGTGGGACCTGCTCTGGGTGGCCCTGCTCTGGCAGGGGGTTGGACTAGATGATCTCCAGAGGTCCCTTCCAACCCCCTATCATTCTGGGATTTTGGGAGTTGGTCCCAGGCGAATGGGGACCAACAAGTGACTCGACCCCTCAGTCGCCCTCCCCACCCCTGCCTGCTCCTTGGAAAAGCAAGAAAACACCCCAAACCCACCCTGAGCAGACCCTTCCCCACTGAACCATAGAGGAGAACGGGAAAAGGGGACCACTCTCAGCACTCTGGTCACAAAGCTGAGCTCAGCCTGACTTGGAGAAGTCTGGATTCTCCAAATGGGGAAATGCTGGGATCATTTTTTTTTGTTTGTTTTCTGTGTTTTGCATATTTTTGTGTCAATGGCTTTTCTGTGTTTATTTCTTTTTTTTTTTTTTTTTTTTTGTTTAGTCACCTTTTGAAGGACAAGAACGATCCAGCTTTGGTGATGGTGGGGGGGAGATGGATCTTTGGTACCGTTGGGATTGCAGGAGTGAAGACACCCCCCACAACCCCCCACCCACCCCACAACCCTATGGCGAGGAGATGGAAGAACCCACCTCACCGTAAATCACGGGAGGGGGCGGGGAGGAACGAATGGAGACGGAAGAGTAGGAAAAAAAAAAATTAAAATAAAGGAAATTATGGGAAGAAAAAAAAAAGAAGAAAAGAGACAAAGAGACGCCGAGGAGCAACCCCACCAGGCAGAAGGTCCAACCTCAAGAAGGGCGACACCCGGTAAGGGAAGGCGGCGGAGGAGAAGGTGGGGGGGGGCGGGGGAAGGCGGCGGTTTGGCCGGGCCTACCCCGGGAT